GTGAGATGGGCGGTATCTAAATTTGAAATATAAATAAATAAATAAATAAATAAATAAATAAGTTATTTCCTAGAACTAGGATGGTTTGAAAAGGCGATTATGGTTTCATTTCAATGATACTATTTGGTCCTCAGAGTGGCTTCAATCACTGTTGACCGTGCATGGACACACCCTACTTCCAGCTCTGATATACAGAGCGCGCAAGGTTTTTTATTGTTTCAAAGACTTGTAAAACTTGCTGGGCAAGGAAGGGCGCCAGGAAAAAAACACTGTAGATCCCATCTTCACAAACCCCAATGGCTGGGTTCACACTGCCAACTGAGACATAGTCAGCCCCTTGAAAGGACCTAGGATGACTGAGTCCTTGACCCCAGGGGTCCGACTGGGGAGAACAATTTCTCAAGAGCGATCCTTCCTTGCTCTCAAGTGCGCACGGATCTCAAGACTTCAATCACATCTACTCCTATATTTGTACATGCTCTGAGATATAGAAGCACTGCACGCCTTCTATATTCTCCACCATCACTATGGCAGCAGGAGATAGTTGCTTCCCAACCGCCTTGGAGTGACAGGTGTAAGCTTTCTCCCCATCTCTCACAGATGCTCCTTTCTTTTAATACCACCTTGATTTGCTACTGAGTAGGTGGCCATGAGGTTTACCTACATACCCCACTCTGTCACCGGCTGGGGGCCTAAAGATGGGATATTTCATTGTACCTCCAGTACCAGACCACAGGACTCAAATCACAATTAATTTCTTACTCTTTGACAGACATGATAGACCAATTCTTTGAGAGCGGGCGAACGACAGCCTCCAAAAGCGGGACCGAGCACACCACTCATCTGCCCCATGCAGCTTCAAATAAAGTTACCCTTCACAGATATGAACATTCCCCGCCCCTTCCTCTCTTTATGTGCTAGAAATCAGACAACCAGGGGTCGACCCGTGTCCAAGTCCTACATCAGCATGTCTGTGTGTGTGTGTGTGTGTGTGTGTGTATTTTTTTTTTTGGCAACAGCACAGAAGCTATTTGCAAACTGCCTTTTTCTGGGATGTTGTTTGACTTCCTAGTCTGTTCTGGCCTTTCCTGTACACCAACATTCACCAAACCTGATCTTGCTTAGATCTTTTGAGATCAAGGAAGCTGAGCCAGATGCGGACCTGCGCGGCATCTATTGGTTTGAGATCATTATTACTCCAGCCCAGTGTTTCTCAAGCTTGGGAACTTTAAGATGTGTGGACTTCAACTCCCAGAATCCCCCAGCCAGCTGTGCTGGCTGGGGAACTCTGGGCGTTGAAGTCCACACATCTTAAAGTTTCCAAGGCTGAGAAACACTGCACTAGTCCTAAACAAACTTAATTTGAAAAACCCTTAGCCGCTTCTTGTTCGCGGGGATAAGCGGGATCCAAGCCGCAATCTTAAACTTCTTCGCTGGTGGGTTAACTGTATCACCGCTGCCCAGCGGCTGCCTCTCCGCATCCCGGACTCACAGGCCCCCCAGTCGAGTCGACGTGCACCGGGTTTCCAGGCCCAGGAGGGGGGTTCAGGAATGGCCACCCCAGCACAGCTGGGGAGCCAGAGCAGGCTGAGGGCGGCTGGGCTTGAGGGCCCCTGGAAGCCCAGGGAGGCGGAACCGACGGCTCTTGGACGCCCCCGCGCGGCCGTCTGGGGGGCGGCAGCCCTCCAGCTTCGAAGGGGAGGCGTCCAAGCGCGGCCCCCCGCTGGGGGGAACTACAACTCCCAGCAGCCCCGAGCACGACCGCGGCAGAGGGGCGC